GACTGGGTGCCTGTGTCAGTGCACAGCTTCCCTAGGGGAGGACTTTGAAGCTGTCCACAGTGACATTTAGCAGGGAGCTATGTAGCACTTTTTCTAGGGTGTTCACCAACTTAATTGTCCACCCTCACATATTCTACCCATTAATATAGCAAGCATTATTTCTTTGTGTCCAGAATTTAGAATTCCACCTTGTTTTAATCACAGCATTAGAGGAACTATTAAATGAACAACTGAATGTGTTTTGTTTTGTTTTGTTTTTTTTACATTTTACATTTTTAAGGCTTGTCAAAAATTCAGTAAACAAGTTAGACAGTAGTCCTTGGCCTGTGTGTTTCATGACTGGTTTAGAAGACTTTGGTGACGAGTTTCCCTCAGGCTTGTGGTTTGTGAGGCAGGACTTGCAGGTGCACAGTGCACTGAGGTTAGGCTTTGCTTCTTTGAAATCTGTCTCTAAGATTTCTTTGACTCCTGTGAGCTTTGAATGTCTTCCTGCCTTGATTGCTGAAGCCCACCAGGGGGCGTAGTAGTGTTCACTTCTGTGTTAAGGAGGAAAAGGGACTTCTTTCCATCTTGGTTCCCTCACCAAGAAGGGAGTGGTATCCTCTCTGGGGGACACAGGACAAGCCTTCAGTTGGCTCCCAGCATCTTCATACACAGTATGTGAACAGAAACCTCCACTGTAAGTTGTAAATACTTTCACACCCTGAAAACTAGAGTTCCTCTTATTGGTCTTCCTGACACTTACCAGATCTTAGCTATCTGAGTTTTTCTGTGAGTAAATTTTAAAAGTGCTGTCTTGGTACCCGTAGCACAGTGGTTACAGTGCCAGCCACATACACCAAGGGTGGCAGGTTTGAACCTGGCCTGGGCCAGCTAAACAACAGTTATAACTGCAACAACAACAAAAATAGCCAGGTGTTGGGGCCAGTGCCTGTAGTCCCAACTACTTGAGAGGCTGAGGTAAGAGAATCACTTACGCCCAAGAGTCAGAGGTTGCTCTGAGCTGTGTCACGATGGCACTCTACCCAGGGCGACAGCTTGAGAGACTGCCTCATAAAAAAAGTGCCAACAGGCTGGGCATGGTGGCTCACACCTGTAATCCCAGCACTCTGGGAGGCTGAGGCAGGTAGATTGCTTGTGCTCAGGAGTTTGAGACCAACCTGAGCAAGAGTGAGACCCTATCTCTAAAACTAGCCGAACTTTATGTCAGGCACCTGTAGTCCCAGCTACTCAAGAGGCTGAGGAAAGAGAATCACTTGAGCCCAGGAGTTTGAGGTTGCTGTGAGCTGTGACACCACTACACCCTACCCCAGGGCATCAAAGTGAGACTGTGTCCCAATAAATAAATAATTAAAATAAAAAATGCATACACTAAAGAACACTACTAGAATTCAGAAGTCTTCAGTTGAATTTAAGCAAACTATGAATTCATTTATAAAAATCAAAATTCAGTGCAGCTCTAAGTGGCATCAGTTTCAGTGGATGAAAACAGTAAATATAGTTGAATTTTTAACTTTTAACTTAGTTGCTTAAGTTTGAAAACTAATGAATGTTGCTTTTTAATGATGCAAAAAGTGATTTCACATTCTTTTTCCAAGTGTTTCTCTGACTCTCCCCACCCATCTCCCCTCAGCACTTTCTCCCTCGGTGGAAGTGTGAGCAGCTGATCAGACAAGGGGTCCTGGAGCATGTGCTGTCGTGACCTTGTACGTATGCAGGGCCCTGCCCGCTTTACCCAGTCCTACGATGTGCCTTCCACCTGCCCTTGGGATTTAAAAAGTAAAAGACATTCTTTAAGATAAGCAGGGATATTTGGCTAAGAAATATGATTTGGTATTAAGAACTATTTTTATGTTATACACTGTTATTTCTGCTCCTTTTGGTAATAAGTTGTATCATAACACTCCTGCAGGTATTAGTGTAGTTTTTTTAATGAAAATAAATGTTACATTTGAATCTCTCTTTAAATATTGAGAGTGAGCATCTTGCATTCTTTTCTGCTTGTGTGCTGTGTAAGCTAGGAGCTGAATTTTTGTAGTATTCCGTCTAAGTCTTGTCAGCATTTTGTAATTTTGATGCTAAATATTAAATTTCAATTTGCTTGTTGCTAAATAGAAATATAATTGATTTTGAACTTGTAACCTCTAACCTCACTTTATTCTCATAGTTTTGTAAGTTACAGCAACAGCCCTGTTTTCTATGAATAACGAGTTTTTACTCCTTCCTTTTAAATCTGATGTCTTTAATCTCTTTTTCTTGCCTGATTGTGTTGGTTAGAATTTCTAGTAGAGGTTCTAAATTAAAGTGTTCATACAAGACATCTCTATATTGTCTTGATCTTAGAAGGAAAGCATTTTGTCTTTTACCATTGAATATGATATTAACTCAAGGTTTTCTCCTAGGTAGGTATGGTGTCACACCTGTAGTCCCAGCTACTTCGGGGGGCTGGCAGGCTGCTGCTGCTGTACTCTGAGCTTGGGTAATGGACCAAGGCCCAATAAACAAATAACAAGTCAGTCTTAATAGAAAAAAAGTTATAGCAAGTGACTCTTCATGTTATAGTACTACTTGCCAATAAACCAAATAGCCATAATTTATGTTTATTTCAGATATAAAACTACCCTTTTAGGGTTTTTTTACACATAGTACAATTTCCAGTGTGGTGATATTTCAGTGAGAAAAAAATTTCATGCACAATAAACACCCTCATCCCTGAGTCCACAGATGATAAGCCTGGTCCAGATGTCCCCTAGGGGAGCCGTCCCTGTAGAAGGCACTTCCCTTTCTTCTGGGTTGACAGTTCACAGCAAGTGATATGTACAGAGCCCCAGCGAGAATCCTAGGGGTCTAAGCCCACAGCAGAGCAGAGAATCAGCAACTGCACAGAGCCTGACTTTGCATTGTAATCTGCCTAACCACAGTTGGAAGGTGACATGGAAGTATTTCATTAACCACTTCCTCTTAGCTGTTCTTTGTTGACAGCCCCCACCCCCAATCTGTCTTCCAGTGAGCAAAAAAGTTGATAATTTTACAATGGGAAATTACTCAGGACTGCTAATAAACAAACATGGTCTTTTGTAACATGTTTCTCCAGCATCTGATACACAGTAGGTATTCACTAAATGAGCAGGGACTGACCAAAGAATTCATAATCTTCACATGGCCAAGGGTGCTCTTCTAGAACAAGCATCTACACAGACAGGGCTGCAGGAGCGATCTTACTGATGAGTTTGTTGAGAGCATGGACTTTTTCTTCCAGGATGCGGTTTTTCTTCTCAGTACCTTGTTGCTTCTCTTCGGTGACCTGGAGTGCCTTGGCCAGGTGAGCGTTCTCCACATAGAGCTCCTTGAGCAGCAGGCAGGACCTCCTGTTCTTTTCAAACTGGAGGGGGAGGAAGCCACACTTAATGTAAGTTTGGTGTGGAAATGCTACACTCTAGCCTGCCTTCATCCATGTCTGGTAAACCAGTTTTAGAGTCTTATAGATCTGACAAAATCTTGGACATAATGACAATTTTTGTTACCCTGGCATGGGGGAGAAAATTAAGAATTTGCTGAATTGTGGCAGAGAAAATTTAGGGTGGATTTATGCCATGACATGAAGCCTTTTTAGACCAAAATCAAGTCCTCAGAAGGCCCTCTTAATAAGTACAATTATTAATGTACTTATTAATGAAAATTAATGAAATTTTCAAGACTGTGGAAAACATCTGGGTCCTCTACATGTGCTCTGCTGGCAGTGATGTCACCCAAAACCCCCTGTACCTGCCCTCACAGCCTGGTGTGAGCCAGCTGCCAGGCCACACAGGCTACAGTGGTGGGGACAGGAAGCCAGTCCCAGCCCCTGCGGTTGGGGCCCCACACAGGGCTTCCCAAGTTCATGCTGTGCCCACTCAGCTCCTGTGTGCCCCCCATGTACCCCCTGCCCTGTTCTCACAGCACACACATCCCAGCGCCAGGAGACAGAGGAAAAACACATCCAAGTATGAGAACATGCAGTGGGACAGCAGGGGTTTCCCATTTAGGCTGGGTGAACAGAGGGCCACTGTGAAGACATCGGAACAGAGATCTGATGGGAGGAGCTGAGTGGCTGCGCCTGTCTGAGGCAGAGAAGGGCACATGCTCAGGGTGACCTACCATGGCTGCAGGAGACAGAGAGGGGCAGGGGTCAAGGGGAGGCAACTAGACCTAGTAGAGCTTCAGAGACCAGTACACAAACTGCCTCTTATGGAGGGACATGGGAAGATGACGTTTCTAGATGGAGGAGAGCCAGGACTTCTGCCAAGTTTTAAGAGGACCACTGTTGCTCCTTCCTCAAGGACAAATTAGGGCAGGAATGAGAAGCCAGGCTGCATGCACAGGGGTGGGGAGTAGGGTTTGTCCACTTTGAAGGTAGGAATGTAGATGAGATGTGTACATGGGAAGTGGTCAGCTTTGACCCCAAGCTAGCAGCTAGAAGAACAGAAGGGCCACAGGTAAGGTGGGGCTGACAGCTCTTCCTAGAGTGTTTCTGTGAAGAGCAGCAGAGAACTGGGGGGCCAGGAGCTCTCAGGGTTTGTATGATGGTAACAGAAAGGGCTCCAGGCTGAGGTGGGTGGTGTCACGGAATTCCCAGGTGAGGCCCTAACAAGCCCTGCAGCACCTCTCTACTGCTCAAGGCCTCACTGGCTGGGCTCAAGCACTGTGTGTCAGAGGGAAGCCATCTGGGGACTCTCGGCCACCAGCCAGGGCCACGGCCAACCATGTGAAAGACCTGCCTCGGTGTGAAACCAGGGGAGAAGGGCCCTGCTGAGCCCAGTTAGCCCATGGATCCAGAGGATAATCACTGAAGGGCCCCTAGGCATAGGGGTGGCTTGCTGTGCTGTCATACAGAACCAGTACACAGGTTCTGGGCTGTGACACAGCCACACACTGTTCCCCTGCAGAGGCTCCAGCTGGGGCTCTCAGCTGTACCTGCCCTGCCCACTCTGCTCTGTGGCCCCCTAGAGTGTTTGTTCCTCTTCTGAACCATGGGCAGGACAGTGACCACCTTAGTGGAGGTGTGTGGAGCCTACTGTGTCACTGCATGCCTGGCACAGAGCCTGTCAGCCTAGCATCTTCCCACCCTCATGGCCTTGAGCCCACTGCCTTGGCTATGACCCCACCGTCCACAATACCACTTGGCTATACCCCTACCATCCTCAATACCACCCCCACACGTTCCTTTGGCTCCTCTGTTCTGCAGAGGGCTGCTCACTTCCTCCTTCCCTGGTGAGTGAACTGAGCCACAGCTCTTCATGACCTGCTCAAGGCCAAGCCAACCCCGGGCCAGGACAACTCTGGTTCTGGGCCTGGTAAGCTGCCTCCAGGGCTGGACCAACCACCTCTCTGGCCCAGGTGGTGCTTAACTGGCATCCCAGTGACACTGCCCAGGCCAGGACTGGACCTGGCACCTCAGCCACCCTCACACCCACCTGGTCTTGATGTTCTTCAAGGGTCCTGGTCAGCTCTGCCTGGGACAGTCTCAGGCTCTGACATTCTTGATTGATACATTCAAGTTCAACTTCAAGTTTTTGGATTTGGTCACTCTGTTTTTAAAAAGTCAATTTCACAAGAAAAATCTTAGCAGTCTGATATGCAATTGATGCATAAACTTCATAAAACTACAGAAAAGAAATAATGACAAACTTTAAATCCCCCAAGATGCCACCAGCCAAGGCCTCCCCGACCTGCTACGATAATCCCTCTGCCCATCTCCCATACATCCACCCCGGGGATGGTGCCAGAAAGCATGGACAGTGTCCTTGCTGTGCCTGCCTCATCATGGCCCAAGCATCTCCATGACACTAATCTGAAAACATGGATTTTAAGGCTGCACCACGATTTACTGACTCACTCCTCTCCTGCTGCTGACTCAAGCTGAGTCCAACAGTTTTGCTATTATAAAAAGCATAGCAATGAAAATGCTCCCTAAAATCTCCATAACAGAATTATGGAGTCAAAGCATAGGGATATTCTTTTTATTTATTTATTTTTGAGACAGTCTCATTATGTCACCCTTGGTAGAGTGCTATGGCGTCACAGCTCATAGCAACCTCAAACTCTTGGGCTTAAGCGATTCTCTTGCCTCAGCCTCTCAAGTAGCTGGGACTACAGGTGCCTGCCACAATACCCAGCTATTTTTTGTTGTTGTTGTTGTCATTGTTTGGCAGGCCTGGGCCGGATTCAAACCCATCTACCTCAGTGTATGTGGCCAGGGTCCTACCCACTGAACTTTGGGCACCACGCCCATAGGGATGTTGTTAAAGTTTTTAATATATATTTTGCAAACTGACCTCCAGGAAGGTTGTACCAATTTGCTCCTTGATCACCAGCATTTAAGGTCATGCTGCTCCTTCTTCTAGACTATGGATTTGCAAATGCTGTTTAGGCTGCTGGCTTCTCCAGGGCCTGTACGGGAAGCCCCTTATTGTTCAGCTAAGTGGCACCTCTCTCTGGGCTCCCCAGGACTCATCCTAGTCCATTTCAGCTGCCTCCCAGACTGTGCCCTTCTCTCTTCCCCCTCAGGTCCCCGATGGAACTGGGGCGCACCCACCTGCTGCTCCCCCCGGCACTCCGCCTCCTCCAGACTCTGTGTTAACAGCTGGATGGTGAGGCGGTTCTCCTCCTGCTGGGCCTGTTGGGTAGAAGCTTCCTCTCCCAGCTGATGGACCCTGTGGTTGAGCTGGGACAACTGATCCTTGTATTTCTGACTC